CCTGGGAGGGAAGAGCAGGGGACCCTGGGAGGGAAGAGCAGGGGACCCTGGGAGGGAAGAGCAGGGCACCCTGGGAGGGAAGAGCAGGGGCTACTGACAGGGAAGAGCAGGAATCCTCAGAAGGGAAAGCAAAGAAAGGTGGAAGGTAAAGCAGGGGATCCTGGGAGGGAAGAGCAGGAATCCTCAGAAGAAAAATCAAAGAAAGGTGGGAGGTAAAAGCAGAGGATCCTGGGAGGAAAGAGCAGGGGATCTTGAAAAGAACAGAAATCCTAAGAAGGAAGAACAAAGAACACTGGGAGCTAAGAGCAGGGGCTCCTGGGAGGGAAGAGCAGAGACTTCTTAGAAGGCACAGCAGGGGATCCTAGAGGAAAGTACAGGGAATCATGGGAAGGAATCACAGGGCATCCTGCAAAGGCAGTAAGGAAGTCCTTAATTGTCCAGATTCTTTATGGAGAATGGGGAAGGTCCACTCTCCTCCAAAAATGGGAAGTGTGTTTCTATTGGCTGCAGGGTGTGATTGAATTCAGGCCAGAAAAATAAGCAGAGGAGGCTGTAACCCCATGATCTCTCACTCTTCCAGCATGGCCCCAGCTCTTGAGTATGGGCCAGGGGCCGTGCCTATTCAGTGTAGAACAGGGAGCTATCCAAAGATCTTTCTGCAATGGTCCCAGGAAGACACAGAACTAGGTCCCTGCCCACCCAGGCTCCTAGGTACACCTAAAGCCAAGCTTCCACTAGACTGGGGAACAGAGGCCAGAGTGGCCACTGGCTCACCAGTTCCCCTGGCCACCCTGCCCATGTTTGTCTCCTTCATGGCCCAAACCAGGAGCATATATCATGTCCAGTCTCAGTCCCCCAAGGCCTAGTCAGGCTGATCGAACACAGGAGGCCCTTTGCAGCCTTTGAATATTTTTCCACACATTCTATCCCATCCCTGGTCAAGCTTTCATCTGTTCTTCAACCCCATAAAATGAAGCAGGACTAAAAATAACTCTGTTTGTGGGTAGGAACAAAGCTTCCATCTAGGGAAGCCAAGTCAGAGCACAGTAACAGGGTCCCTCTCTGTAATTTTGTAGAGAATAGCCTGGAAAATGCCTGTTTCTCTCTTCCTCCTGCCTGTTTCCCTGGGGTCTGAAATGGCAAGCTCAGGGGCTTGGTGTTTAGCTAAGTGGCAAAGAGAGAATGTGCTTACCATGCTCAAGGCTCTGAGTTCAATCCCCATCACCAAAAGGGTCGGGGAGCAGGGCAAGCTCAGAGTCACAAGGCCCTACAGCCACAGTCAGGGACTTAACTGTGGCCTTGGCTGTGGTGAGGAGGAAGGGAGGAGGTTGGTGTTCCAGGTAGGCTTGGGCCTGACTCTCTTAGCTGGACTCACTTGGAATCCCTGATACCAGCTTCAGAGGCCTCAGCACGCGCACAGCCCTCAGTGTTCGCAGATCAAAGTCAGTTCCAGCTGTGGCAAGGATCCTGGCAGGAAAAAGCAGAAGGAAAGGGAAAGGGTTTCCACATTGAGTCTGGGAGGAAACATACTCCTCCTACCACCTGTGTCCTTTCTCCCAAGGGCAGTGATAAATTCATGCCCCGTATTTCCCACTGTCCAACCACAGGCCAGTATGGGGCCAGGGACTCACCTGGAATCCCAGGCCATCACCAGATATGCTGGCAATGACTTCCACCTGCATTACCAGCCCTCCAGTTCAGAGGCACTGTGAATGGACACTCAGCCACTGGCCTGGCAGTGAACCCGTCTTCCAACTGAGTCCAAGCCTACACTATGCACAACCAACCCCAGCTGTACTTCAGACCATCCCATGAAAGGCAGCAGTGAGTGGAGCTGGAGTACAGTGGAGCCTGAGGGACTCCTGGACCAGCACCACATGCCACCCTTCTTCACCCTGTCTCCGAAGAACAGGGAAAGCGGAAGGTGGGAGTCAAGGATTCAGAGATCTCAGAAAGACCCTTGTGGAAAGAAACATTTGTTTTAAAAATAAGTCAGTGGAAAATAAGAAAATAAAAATAAGTCAATGGCAGAGCAGCAAGGGCTATATTCAAAGTAAGAAGTGAACCACTGTTACACTCACACCCAGAGAAGACAGTATCAAATAAAGATTTCCAGGCTAAAGGGAGAGCTTTACCTCTCCCTGAAGGATGAATAAATGGGTACCTTTACTGACAACCTGTCAGTCACACTGAAGTGAAGAGGAGGTATGCTCCTGATCTACTGTTGTACTTAGGAAATCCAGTCCTGGCAACATGGAGAGGATAATTCTGTCTGATAGTCATCTTCCTGGGGATAGGGGCCCATGAATCAAGTTCCCAAGAGCAAGATCATTGCCTCATGATTAGAATGCGTCACCTTACAAAAAACACTGTGGACCAGTTGAAAAGTTATATGGATGATTTGGACCCTGAATTTCCACCAACTGCACAAGATGTAAAGGGGCACTGTGAGCAATCAGCTTTTTCAAGTTTTCAGAAGGACCAACTAAAGTCAGCAAATGCAGGAGACAACAGAATCAATGTATTAATCAAAAAGCTGAAGAGGAGGGGCTGGGATTGTGGCTCAACAGTAGAGCGCTCACCTAGCACATGCGAGGCGCTGGGTTCGATCCTCAGCACCACATAAAAATACATAAATAAAATAAAGGTATTGGGCCCAATTACAACTAAAAAATAAATTAAAAAACTGAAGAGGAAACTACCTTCTACAAATGTAACAAGAGAATAGGAACATACTACAATATATACTTCTTGTGATTCTTCTGAAATCACTTCTCCAAAAGATCAGCATCTTTCCTAGATACACAGGAGATAGATTCCTAAAGATCTGACTTGAAGATGAATGCTATGTTACATACTCTAACAATAGTCAAACTCACTTCTTGGTATTCCAAGTGCAGAAGAATAATCTATTAGTGATAGAAAAAAGACCTCAGATAAGTCTACAAAGTTCAGATTATTTCCCCCAAATCATTATGCAATACTTCAGTTCAATCCACATGCTGTTTGGTCAATTCAGAAACTTTTTACTCAACTGGAATCTGATTTCCTAGGTCATTGGTTTGTATGGCTTCTGCAATTTTTACTTTGTCTTACTGCCCAACCATGATATTCCTGGACTGATGGAGAAGGCTAAAATTTTAACCAAAAAAATCCTGTTTGAGAATTTACTGATCTTATGTTATTGATCAATGACAATTACCACAAGAATGAGATCTATTATGATCATAACTTAAGAGGTGTATACTTTCAACCAAGCTGAAAATGGGAGAAGCACAGGATAAAAATGAAAAGTTGACATCTTTATTATTTTGAGAAAATGAAAATTGAGTATCTTTTTTAAAGAAAAATAAAAACTATTGTAGATTAATGTCAGCAACATGGCCAGAGTTGCCTGGTACCCCACACAAAAAGAGACCACAGTATAAAAACCACCTCTGACTGGAGTGACTGAAGAAGGGTACTGGCAAACAGCAGGAAGTGGCACATTCTGTGGAGCACAAAAACCAGGCACCATCAGGAGGAGAGTGACTCAATCTCCCCACACCGTCTCCCCAACTCAGACCTGTCTGCCACCAAGACACCTTCTCCTTACAGAGAAAAGGGAAATTAGAGGCCCTAAGGGTCCCCACTACACTACAGATTCCAAGAGTCCCCATTGCCACAGGCCCCAGAGGTAATCAGACTACTGTAGACACAAATGGTCCCCACTTCTGGAGACCCTAACAGCTCCCACACTGCTTCAGACCCCAAGAATGTCAACTACTGGAGACTGTAAAGGCTTCCATGCTGCCACAGACCCCAAAGGTCACCAGCTTCTGAAGGCCCCATAGTTATCATACTGATGCAGATGACTATAAAGGAGACCCCTACAACCCTCACAGGCTTTGCAGTTTGAAGAATTTCTCCACACATGGCTGCATCGCCAGGGGAGAAGCCCACATAGTCTACTCTTCATCCCTCCCCATGATATAAGAAGTGACAGCTCAACACCACCTTGAAACCAGACACACTGTTAGAAAGTCTGAGGCCTAGCTATCATGGCATGTCTTCATTCCTGAGGTTCCACTTTTATTCCATCATGCTCACACAACCAGCTGCAGTACCTCCAAACTGCTTATGGCTTTAGCCTAGCAGAAAAGCTGAGACTTGGTTTCCAAATCCATGCAGCACCCCATCCCCCAGGGAGATTTGCACAAAAAGGATGATGCTGCACAGCCAGTGGCCCAGCACACCTACACATATCTACCTGGCCTGACAGACAAACAGTACCTTCATGCCAGAAGAGAGCCCATCCAGAATACACCCAAGGCTAGCCCAATAGCCAGCCAGGCAGCAACCCTACCCCCCATTGAGCCTGCTGCATAGCCAGTCATCCCATAACACCCATATGTGCCTGCAGCTGGACCAACAACCAGGCAGACCCCCCCAATGGATCTGCTGCACAGCCAGCCAGTCTTCAGCAATCTCACATACCCAACTAGCCCAACAACAAGCCGAATGGCAGCCCTGCCTCCTGGAGAACCCATCACATAGGTGCTCACCTGCAGTACCTTCAGGTACATATGCCCAGCCCAACAACCAGCCAGGAAGCATCCTTTTCTCCAGCAAAACCTCACCAAACATTCACAGTCACAAACACCTAAGCCTAGGCTACAATACAACCACAGACATCGCTTGTCAGGATTATAGCTTAAGAATTCACACACAAATCACACTACTGTGTTTACCAGAATCAAGGCTACCACACTATATCCAGCTGACACCCTCAGCCCCACCCACAAGAAAAAGATTCTCTATACAGAGAAGAAAACTTTATAAAACCAGAAAAGGCTATTTACTAACTAGACGTGCAGATGTCAACACAGGGACACAGAAACATGAAAAAGCAAGGAAATACGATGCCACTGGGGAACAAAACAATTCTCCAGCAGCAGACTCCAAAGAAAAGGAAATTTATGAAATGTCTTCAGAGGAATTCCAAATAATAATCTTCAGGAAGATTACAACATTTAATAGCATACAGCCAAACAATCCAATTAAGTCAGGAACAAAGGACAGATGCAGTGGTGTGTGCCCCTAATCTCAGCAACTTGGAGGACTGGGGTAGGCAGACTGCAATTTCAAGGCCAATCTGGACAACTTAGCAAGACTGTGTCTCAAAGTAAAAATAAAAAAGACTGGGGACATAGCTCAGTGATAGAGCATCCTGGTTTCAATCACCAGTACCACTAAATAAATAAATAAACTCAGAAAAAAATTATAATGTGAATGAGAAATTTGACAAAGAGGCATCATAAAAAAGAAGCAAATCTTACAGCTGAAGAATTCTATGAATGAAATAAAAGTACAATTGATAGATATAACAACAGACTAGATCAAGACGAAGAGGAGTCTAGAGATATAGCTCAGTTGGTAGAGTGCTTTGCTCGCATGCATAAGGCCCTGGGTTCAATCCATAGTGAGGAGGAGGAGGAGGAGGAATTTCTGAACTGGAAGATAGGTATTTTGAAGATAGGTATTTATTTTATTCTAATCCAGTCAGAAGAAAAGAAAAAAAGAATGAAAAAGGACATCATTAAGCAAATTGATATTTGCATATGGGAGGGACATAGGGTAAAGAGATAAAGGCACAGAAAGCATATTTAACAACAACAAAAAAAAAATAGCTGAAATATTACCAAGTCTTGGGAAAGATATAGACATCAGGTCCAGGAAGCTCAAAGAATCCTAATTAAACTCAACCCAAAGAGATCCTCTGCAATTCACATTAATATTAATATTAAACTGTCATATATCAAAGACAGAATTCTAAAAGTAATGAGAAAAAAAAGATCAAATCACATCTGATTATCTCAGCAGATGCAGAAAAAGCATATGAACAAATTCAACACCCCTTCCCGATTAGACTAACAGATTTCTCAGCAGAAACTCTAAAAGACAGGAGAAGATGGGATGATGGATTCAGAGTTCTGAAAGGAAAATACTTGAGCCTAGAATAGTATACCTAGCAAAGCTATTCTTCAGAAATGAAGAAGTAAAATTTCTCAGATAAACAAAAACTGAGGGAGTTCAACACCAGCAGACTAACCTGACAAGAATTGTGTAAAGAAGCCTACGTTTAGAAGCAGAAGAAACTACCACCATGAAAACACACAAAGTATAGAACTTACTGACAGCATTGAAACAAAAGATAAAGAGAAGATAATCAAATTTTATCACTAAGAAAATCACTAAACCACAAAGATTAATAATAAGAGGAAGAAACAAAGAATATACAAAACAATAAGAAAACAATTGACATAATAACAGGAGTTGAATGTTACCTGTTAATAATAACCACAAATTTAAAAGGATTAAATTCCCCAATTAACAGATGAATGGATTAAAAAACACCCAACTCTATGTTGCCTACAAGGAACTCACATCATCAGTAAAGACACAAATAGACCAAAAGTGAAGAGATG